AAAGTGCACGAGTTGCTGAGCCGCGTCTCAGGCAGCTGCAGGCCAGGTGAGACCATGCCGCGTCGGGTCCTTCCTGCAGACATAAACACCGTTTTCATTGAAAAAGAAACAATTTACAGAGAGCCAAGTTGCCCCCTGCCGGTCCCCTGGGTACCGTTTACCATCCCCCTGATCACGTGCTTAATCCACAAGGAGGATGGCGGGAGCTTTGGGAACGTCTCACCTGGGTCTCCTCGTCCTGGACCCATAAAGCCAGTGTCGGCGTCCATGCTCTCGGGCCCCAAAGTCTCCTGGATGCTCCCCCAGCCGTGTCCCTGTGGACACAGCCTGTGGCTTCTGCGAGTGGTGTCCTGAGCACTTCGTGTCCAAGCCAGTCGGGGCCAACATGCCCATCAGGCCACGGAGCAGGGCGCGCCTGGCCCCCGGAACCTCTTCCCGGGCCCTAAGGGGTCCCAGTCCCATAAAACACAGCCCTCACTCCCATGTGTTGTGCTCCCGGTTTCTTGCAAGGCACCTCCGTTGCCGCCTTGTGCGCTTAGGTAACATAAACGATGCAGCAGTTCGCGGGTCGTTCTTTACACTGCGACGGGGCTTTTGTCTTCCGCTCCGCGGGCGCCAGGAGACACCCCACGTGTTTGATCCCCTGTTTCGCACACAAAGCAAAGCAAAGGTAAAGTGCAACGGAGTGTGTGTGTGTGTGTGTAGAGATAAAGAGAGAGACACAGATTTGTTGCCAGGAATTAGCTCATGTGATTGTGTAGCCTGGGACGTCCAGTCTGCAGGTTGAATCAGGCACCTGGAGACCCAGTGACAAGCTGATGCTGAGGCTCTAGTTTGAAGACCGGCCGGAGGCAGAATTCCCTCTTCCTGCAGGAGGTCAGTCTGTTTTTCTCTTGAGGCCTTCAACTGATTGGACAAGGCCCACCCACGGTACGGAGGGCCCTCTGCTTTACTGTGAGTCTGCAGACTGAACCGCGAATCTCATCCAGAAGGAACCTTCACAGGAACTCCACAGAATGATGCTCGACTGTGTATCTGGGCACCGTGGCCCAGCCGACATGACCCGTAAAATTAACCATCACCGCGAGCCCCTCCCCTGCAGGGGTCTGATGCCCCGCGCAGCCGGGAAGGCCGTCTCTGGTTCTCCGTGGCTCCCGGTTCAGACACAGGGCCCCGTGGAGGGCGCACGGGAACGTTTTATTCTGGACGAGAGTCGGCCGACATTTTTGATGCGCCCCGTCCGCCTCTTCCTCCAGGGCTCCCCTCCACGTGCCGGCCGCTCTGTGTCCCCTCCCCCCACCTCCCATCCTCCAGAGAAAAGCCCCCTGCCCCCGGCTGACGTGGGAGTTCTCCTAGCTCCAAGAGCACCGAGCCCCCACTCCTCCCAGGTGAACAGGTATCCAGGCCTCGAAGACACAGGTGGGGCCCGTGGGACAGAGCGTCAGCAAACCGGCTCCTGGAGGCAGAGTCCGTCTGTGTGTGCACAGAGCATGGCCACAGCAGTAATGAGAATGTTCTTACAAACGAAGAATAAGGCAGAGACGGATGGGACCTACAGCCACGGCATGGAAAGCCAGGCGATTCGGGGTTCCAGCCAGGAGCCCTAACGCCCGACCCGTGGGGGCCCCCAGGCCCCGGGAGCCAGAAGCCGGGAAACCACCACATCCCGTATCGGGCACAAAGCTGACATTTGAGGATCCCGGGGACCCAGAGATGAGCCTGTGTGGAAACTGAGTCACACACCAGGAATGGGCATCAGAAACACACGGGGTCCCTCAAAATCAGTGTAAGGACAGCAGAGCCACGGTATATATTCAGCGGGGAAGGGGGTGGGTGGCTCAGTCCGTTGAGCGTCCGACTGTTGATATCGGCTCAGGTCATGATCTCAGGGTCGTGGATCGAGCGGCGAGTCAGGCTCTTGGTCAGCGTGGAGTCTGCTGGAGAGTCTCTCTCTGTCCCTCTCGCTGGCTCGCTCTCTCTAAAATGAATAAATCTTAAAAAAAAAAAAAAGTGCAGCAGGGAAAGTGAATCCACAGATTGCCAAATTACTGGTTTACATGTGTAGACAGAAGTACCGTAGACATTTGTGGACTCAGTGAGCCTCCCACCCGCCCCCTGCCATTCCTAGGAGGCTTCTGGAGACATTCTGGAGTGAAGTGTACACGGACACCCAGAAACCGGGACACTAGGGTGCTCCCACCACGGGACAACATTGGGGGGCCCCAGGTGACAGCCCAGGCAGGGGACGGGGGGCGGTGAGAGGCCTTTGGGCCGGACATGCAGAGACATGGACACAGATGAGTTATGTCACATGCCGGAGGGTTTGGAAACAGTATCGCAACGTGTTGACAAATCTACCGGAGCATTTAGGAACATGTTAACAAGAGCTGCAGAGAAAACTAAGCAACTTCTTTTAAATGAGCAAATTTCAGGGCCAAGATAGCATAGTTAAGGCATCCTTGTTGGTCCGTGTAGCAGGATGACTTGTTCAGCCTTCTCCCCCCATCCCAAATTCATGTCCACTTGGAACCTGTGAATGGGACCTTATTTGGAAACAGGGTCTTTGCAGATGTGATGAAGTGAAAGATCTGAGATGAGCTCATCCTGGATCAGGGTGGCCCTAAATCCAATGACAGGTGTCCTTGTAAGAGACACAAGAGGAGACACGGACACAGAGGAGAAGCCACGTGAAGACGGAGGAAGAGATGGCAGGGACATGGCCACCAGCCCGGGGACACCTGAGCCCCAGAAGCTGGAAGAGGCAGGAAGGACCCTCCCCTGGAGCCTCTGGAGGGAGCACGACCCTGCCCCAGCTGGATCTCAGTGGCCCTGCCCCGCCTGGATCTCCGACTCTGGTCCCCAGAGCTGGGAGAGAATAAATAACCAGTCCGTGGTCATTTGTTGCCACAGGCCCAGGACACGCATGCTCTTAGTGAGAGGTGTGGTCATACCCGTGTCACATGGGCTCACCACGAAGAATGTGGCCCTGGGAGGACTGGTTTCTGCCTGTTTCTTCCCCGCCACGTTCCCAAGCCCGGGAACAGAGCCCAGCCCAGAATGCATGTTCACAAAGCTGAGAATGAAAGAATCGTAAAACTGTAGTATCCCCTGGGGAGGAGACGGGGTTGGGAATTGAGCTCTGGGTGAATCCTCACCTGCCTCGGGAGACAATTAAGTTTCAAGGAGTGTTTATACTGTAGAGGGAGTGGGGTGGGGGTGGGGTTGTGCACGGGGGCATCGAGGCTTCTCCCCCACTGGCTGGAACTGCTGGGTAAATTTTCAGTAATGCTGCCCGCCCGCCCATTCGTGCCAAGCTTGAAATTGGCCACGAGACATGTCCTTACAACACAGACACTGGCAGCCGCTAGGAACCAGGGCTTCTCTCCACCCCCCGAGCTGGGAGGGAGTTCAGTGGTTAGCTGCACCAAGGGCAAAATGGGGGGGCGGGGGGAGCCTGGGGGCTGCAGGACAGAGCGGAAAGTGGGTGGTTTTAACCTAAGTCTTCGGGAGCCAGTGGTATTAACTGCTCGTATTACTTTGAAAAGCACAGACTGATACACTACAGAGCGAGCATATATGCTCAGATCCCGGTTCTGTTAACTGCCTAGTCACTGAAATGCCTGAAACCAACAGAAGACGCACCAGAATTCTCCCAGTTGCCGTCACTGCTGTGGTGTTCCTGTCTCCCTTGCCCCTTGTCCGTGGGTCTCAGTTTGAAGAACAACAACCACATAAAGCAAACATAACCTACTTCCTTCGGGGCTTCTTTCCATCCCAAGGGTGTGAGGTTCCCGCGGCTTGGTTTCTGCATCCTTTCTGAACGCTTTTAAGGAAAATAGAGGCGCAGACAGACGTCTGTAAGGGCGTGCACACGGGCGCACACACACGCACACACTTCGTTCTTGAAGCTCTCACGCTTTGTGCACCAGTAATCCAAGTGTTCCTGGAACTGGCGGACACAGAACCCTGCTCCAAAGCTCCCGGTTGCCTATGGGATTTGCAAAGTGAATGCGTGCTCCCTGACAGGATCTCGGGTCCCTACACCCAGAGTTCCTGCCTTGTTTCCCCACGCAGTGAATCCGTAGTGGAGCCCCGGGCTGTGTGCGCGTGCGCTGGGCACCTCTCCGGCGTGGGCCCTGAGACTTCTCCCTACCCGTTTTCCTCTTCTCCCCTCCATGCCTGTCTCTGTGCTCCTCTGATTCTGGTTCCCCAGCCTGGTGGACACTGTCCTCAGCCTCCCCGCAAGTAGTCCGGACCTCCCGTCCCCCTCGAAACCGGCCGCTGAGTCTTGCGCACCATTCCAGCCCCCCCCGAAACCGGGCCTCGCCGCTGAGTCTTGCGCACCATTCCAGCCTCCGCACAAGTTGCCCCGACCTCCTGTCCCCCTCGAAACCGGCCGCTGAGTCTTGCGCACGACTCCGGCCTCCGCTCAAGTAGTCCCGACCTCCCCTCACCCTCGAAACCGGCAGCTCCAGCGGGGCTCCCCGCTGAGTCTTGCGCACCACTCCGGCCTCCCCGCAAGTAGTCCCGACCTCCCGTCCCCCTGGAAACCGGCCGCCCCAGCCGGGCTCCCCGCTGAGTCTTGCGCACGACTGCAGCTGGCTGTGTTCTTCGCAGGCGGTGGCATCTTGGTGGCCGAGACAGTCCTGGAGGAGAATCGAGCAGCGCGGGGCAGCCTGCCCGCGTCCTTGAACCTGCTGGTGCGGACCCAGGGGCGGGAGCGCACCCTGCCCGAGTACCGCAGCCTGCTGGAGCAGCATGGCTTCTGGGACGTCCGGCTGGCGCACGCGGGAGACAGGCTGGACGTGGTCCTGGGCACCAGAGCCGCGCCACCCTGAGGCCCCCGGCATTACACGCTGCTCTCCCAGGAGGCCCACGGGCGTCCCCGTCCCCACTGTTGGCCGCCAGGTACAACGATGACCGACAGCTCACCAACCGTGTAACCTAACAGATTAAAGCAGCAAAATGCACTTGCTCCAAGCTCATTTGTGGGTTCCGAGATGGGGCAGGCCGTGCCCGGAGGGGGGCAGCGCCGGCCAGTGCTCGCCCCGGGGTCCCGCCTGCGTGGCCGGAGCCCCTCCGCCTTTGGAAAGGCGGCGCGGCACCCAGGGGCGCCGGTTGGGCGGGAGCCTGGGGCCTGCCTGGCTCTCTCCAGCAGGTGTCAGCGTTCCGCGCTGCCCTGGCCCCACCTGCTGACATGGTTGAGCCCCTCCTCCTTCACGCCTGTTCTAAACGTGTTTGTCCGTGTGAGTCCCAGCCCAGGGGCACCCGGGGAGTGTGCCCGGTTTCTGGGGCGCCCCGTCTCCCACCCCCTCTGCCCGGCTGCTGGGAGGCAGGGCCCCCTCCGCCCCCTGCGACCTTGAAGAACTCCTGCCCCTCAGAAGCTGGTTGGCTCACGCGGGCTGTGGTTTATCGGGTCAACAGGCCGGTGTCCAACCCACGTCCCCAAGCGACCGATGTCACGCTCAAGGCTCTTGTGTATTTCAGTAATTTATCTTGTGTTAACAGAGCAGGTGCGTTTCCATTCTCTCTGTTGTTGACGTTACCTGTTAGAAAAACGGCCCAGTCGGTCAGACGGGACACCTTCAGATAGGCCACCCTGTGTTATCGCGCTCATGCTTGCCAGCTAATGGTGACCTTCAGGGGCGCCTCCTGGCTCAGTCGGCTGAGGGCTGGATGCTTGGTTTCGGCTCAGGTCATGAACTCGAATCATGGGATCGAGCCTCCTGCCTGGCTCTGCGCTCAGCGGGGAGTCTGCTTGCGATTCTCTGGCTTTCCCTCTGCCCCTCCCCCTCCCCGCACGCACCTGCTCGCTCTCTCTGTCTCTCACAAATAAATCTTTAAAAAATAATAATAGTAGGGGCGCCTGGGTGGCTCAGTGGGTTAAGCGTCTGCCTTTGGCTCAGGTCATGATCCTGGGGTCCTGGGATCGAGTTCTGCATCGTGCTCCCTGCTCAGCGGGGGGGTCTGCTTCTCCCCACCCCTCCCCCAATCCTGCACGTGCACTCTTTGTCTTTCTGTCAAATAAATGAATAAAATCTTAAAAAATTAATAATAAAAAATAATAGTAAAAATAAACCACTGTACGCAGCTCATAAAATAGACAAGTATATGCAAATTCTCTCTGTATATAAACATATTTTATATAACAATAAATTGTCTTTTATATACAATTATATAGCTATATATACTTATAACGTATATTCTACATGTTGTGTATTGTAATTATATGTATATATATATTCCACACACACATAAATGCATACTTTTGGTTGGAGTCCAATTTTTTTTTTTTTTAATCACAAGCTGTGTCTCCATAGGAGGCTGCAATGGAGGAAGGAAATTAAACGCTGATCCAAGGGGCTGCGCCGTCCAGTGGGGTGACCACAGCGGGTGTTAAGAACAAAGGGTAACGGCTCAAGGCTCCTCCATCCCGGTCACCTGGCCCCGGGGTGGCGCCGGGGAAACATGCCTCCTCCCACACCGGGTCCCCTCTTCCACCCCACCCAGTCCCCACACCGGCTGGACGGGGCTCACATCCGCCATGCTTGCTAGCTCCAGCTGGGTGGAGCTGGGTGACACTGACCTGGTCACCTTGGGCCACCCCGCTCAGCCTCCTTTGCAACCTGGGAGAACAGGGCAGTCTCTGCAGAACACCTTTTGTGTATCGGCCCGGCTGGGCAGGTGGAGAGCTGTACCCTCCCCAGTCGCATCACACACCTGTTCTCCGGCCCGCTGGGGTGGCCCACGAGCTGTCTCAAGGACACCGGGTTTGTTAGAAGCAACCGCGCTTCTCACCACCTCTGGTACCTGCCCGCATGGCTTGGAACACCCAGCCCACCGTGCGTCCTGGCTGCCCTGTGGTGGCCACACGCAGGGCCCTCACCCCGGGACCCCAGGAGCGGCCGACCCTGAGTTTGCACACCCACGACTGTGCCCTGAAACCCAGGACCCTCCCGAGGGAGACCCCGGGGTGGAGAGCAGCAGCCAGATAACATTTGAGAAGGATGCAACGAACGGTCCGTGGGTTCGTTATCCCCCTCACTGCCCTGTTTGTGTTTGCTGGAACTTTTCGTAGCAAAACATCAGAAAAATGAGAAGAGAAAATGGGACTTCTATACGATAGGACCTGACTTTCCATTTATTAGGAATGCTGTGCACAAGCTACCTTTAGGGGAGTCTGAGAAAGAACGTAGAGGGTGCGTGTGCACACACATGCATGTATCTTTAAAGGGTTTTTACTCTTTAGGAATCAATAGGGCTTTCGAGGTTGGAATTCTGTGCCTGACCTCACCCCCCCCCTCCTCCCGGTGATACTCATTCACTGATGCACACATGCTTTCATTCGGCAGCTAGCCGCACTTTCTGAATGCATCACTAGATACAATCTGCCGGGTGGGGGTAGGACTGGAGGCCATAAAGATCACACCAGAGAAGACGTCCCAATGTAGAGTCCCATGTGGGAGAGTATCTGGCACCGTCCCTGGGCAGCCTCCTCGCCAAGCACCAGATCCGGTTACTTAAAAGCAGGGCCTCCGTGAATGGACCCCCCACCCCGGGGAAGGACTCACCCACGGCCTGGGTCAACCGCCCCCCACTCGATGCTCCACTCCTGTCACTTCACCGCCCCATTCTAAGCCATTCGCTGAAATGCACAATCTTTTAAAACTGATTTTTAGGACAATCTCCTTTTTAATTCACACCCGCATTTCTCAGATACTTTGGGGAGGCAGATTTAAGCACCTCCTGGCCAGGCTGTGGCTGACCTCCAGTAACACCCAGGTCGCCGTCTTAAGTCTTAGGAATGTGGGGCCCTTTTCAGTCTCCCCGTGGGGGCTGGAAACTTGGCCTTTGGAAGACCCCACCCACCCTTTTCCCCCCCACCATCCCACTTTAGGCATCCTCTCCCCCTTTCCTGTCGGGGTGGGGGGCAAGGGCCATCTACCTGGACGGTACTTTCCCAGGTACATGAGGCTCTTGGTTTCCGGTGTTCAGACCGCGCTGCCCCCTTGGATCAGCCCCCACCATGCCACCCACCCCCCCTGCCCCCGCACACATAGCAAGGACAAACAGGTTGCGTGCCTGAGTCCAACCCCCGCAGAAAAACGTCTTCTGAACGCCAATTAGCAATAAAGGAAAGAAGCCTCCCTCCCTCCCTCCCTCCTTCCAGAAGTGTTCTCCAGGGCCCCTGGGGCACCATGCTGACCACTGGGGTGGCCACTGGGAATCCAGAACACAGGAAGGGGCGCAGACCACTCAGAGGCTAACCACGCCCACCTACATAAGAGGGTCGCTCTACGGAAGCACCTCATTCCAAGTCCTAGGCCTGGAGTTCCCCAGTCTGAGCACACCCCAACCGGCTGCAACCTGAATGAGCAACTGGCTGGCCCCTGCGGTTCCCCTGCGCGGTGATAATCACGGCCAGGGCCCCTTCTGGCCCAGACAGGCTGATCCTGTTCTCCCTGGGAGTGCCCAGGCAGGAGCCTGTGAGCGAACTCCTCATCCCCACTCGGCACCCAGGCCAACCCTCCGTCCTCTTCTGCGGAGCCCCATAGCTGCTCTGCCCAGGGTGGGGCTGGACCCTCCAGGGACCTTCTCCACTTGCTGTCCCAGTGAAGCCTCAAGAATGCACTGGAACCTCCAACGCCCTCCCCACAGCCATCATCGAAAGGCCAGACCCTCTCACCATTTAAGTGACTTCGGAGTGTCCCCCCCC